GCCTCTGGATAGAAGAGGGCCTGGCTCTGGCCCACTTCTTTGGTTTCTGACCACAAATTACCCTCACCACTACTGCCTTGGCTCAACCTATCTTTATCTCCCTCCTGGACTTAATTGGGTTCTCTACTTCTACCTTTGTCACCCTATTCTCCTCATAGAAGTGATAGTGATCTTTAAAAAATTAATTAGGCCCAGCTGTGGTAGTGCAAGCAGGATGCTCCTACTTGGAGGCCCGGGTTCAATTCTTGGCCTCCAAGAAAGCTGGACACAGTGGCATGCCTGTAGTTCTAGGTATTCAGGAAGCTGAGGGAGGATCACAACATATCAAGATCCTATTTTTTTTAAAGCATAAGTCAGACATATTCCTTCTTTGTTTAAAACCTTTCAGTGGCTTTTAAACCAACTCAGAATAAAATCCAAAATCCTTCCCATGACGTCTAAGGACTTACATAACCAGGCCCCTGGTTGCCTACCACTCAGATCTTATCACCTACACTTGAGTCACACTAACTACCTTGCTGTGCATCAAACAGGCTGATCATGCTGGAACCTCCGGGCTTTGAAGTTACTGCCTGCAGTGTTCTTTACAGACATTCTCACTGTTGGTCCACTCACCTCCTTTAAGTTTCTGCTCAAGTTTCACCTATCAGAAAGGCCTTCCCTGACAAGCCAATATAAAATAGCATTCCTTTCTCTTTATTCTTTATGCCCTTATCCAGCTTTCTTTTCTTTCTTTCTTTATGAGAGAGAAAAAGTACAAGAGAGAAGTAAAGACAGAGAGAAAGGACAGGCAGAGGTAGTTGCTTTTTTTTTTCTTAACGCTAGAGGGTGCCTGTGTGCACCCAGGAGAGAAAGCACCCCCAGTGGGTCTTAGTCATACCACAACCCTTTTTCTTCCCATTCTCCACACTGTCCTGGGCACTGCACATGCACACATTGAAGTCAATGTAGCTGGAATTCAAATTCCCATCAGCCATGTGAGATCCAGTTTCATCTGAGCAATGCTTAACCACTACACCATGGTAGTAGTTTCAGAGATAGGTTTTTGCCTCAGGGCAGGTGTGCTCACTGGAGAAAGAGACAGAGACAGTGAGAGGAAAAGTGAGAAACCACCCCCGAGGGAATGACTACGCCATAATCACTTCTCTATTTTCCTCCTGGGATCTTGAGCACACACACATACATGTCTGGTGTGATTTTCAAGCCACTGCATCCAGGACTTGAACTGCGGTAAGCTATGTGGGAATCCAGGAACATAACTGCTATGCCATCTGCCGGCCTTGAGATAGGTATTTTTAACAGGATTTCACTGGTGCTTCAGCCTCCTAATTATCTAGGATCACAAGCGTGCACACTCGGCCGATGTATTCAGGTCGGCCCAGGAAGCGAACCTATGCTTCCCATGCAGTTTTCAGCCTCCTAATCCATGGTGCTACCTGGGCCTCTGCATCTGGACCCAGCTTTATCTTCCTTATAGTATTTGTCACAATTGTCATATATTTGTTTTTCAGTATTTGTCTCTTCTCCCCTAGATTGTAAGGTCCATGAAAACAAAGACTTTTTTTTTCTTGTATATCCAGCATCTTGAACAGTGCCTTGCACATTATATTAATAGGTACCCCACAAATACTGTATTAATGAAGAAATTGTGTAATACCTATATAAAGCACACTAGAATTAATTCAGTGGGACACTGAAGGATTGAATTTTTGCAAAGGTATTAATTCTCCTTTAGTGAGTTTATAAATTTATTGCAATTCTAATTTAAAAACCCCACAGGCCTTTTTGGATAGCTGACAAAAATAATCTCAAAGATTCATCCAAGAAAAAATATGGAAAATAACCTAGAAAATTTATAAAAATTAATTTAATAGAGGGAAGTCTAGCTCTAATAGATATTAAATGATATTATAAGGTGGCAATAATTTTTAAAGTATGATATGGTAATTAAAATAGTAAGAAACAGAATAAATGTACTAAGTATATTTGACAATTTAGATTTCTTTTTTGTTGTTGTTGTTGTCATAGGGTACATGCACTCATGGGAGAGAGAGGGAGAGAGGGATATCACCCCCTGGAAGTATGGCCACACAGCAATCTCTTCTGCTCCAGTCTCTTCTTGGGATTTTTGAGTACACATGCACATGTGCTCAGAGTGATTTTCAAGCTGCTGGGTCTGAACCTCGAACCACAGTTGACCTGGTGGGAGTCCAGTGTTGTAACCACCGCACCACCTACGGGCCCTGCCAATTTGGATTTTATTTTAAGGTAGTATTTTTAAATTAGAAGAGAAAATATAATATTGTCCAATAAGGTGCCTGGAAAGTTGGCTAGCCATTTGAAAAAATAGTGATGATTTGCCATCTCATTTTAAAACAAATTTGCTAGAGGGCATGTGTGCTCGCTGGAGAGAGACAGAAAGAGAAAGAATGAGAAAACACCCCTCCATGGTAGAGGCAGTCATGCCACAACTCCTTCTCCATCTCTCTTTTGGGTTCTTGAGCAATCATACACAGGTAGGTGCCCAGTGTGTTTCTCAAGCCACAGAGCCTGGAGCTCAAACCACACAGTCGGCCATATGGGATTCAGGTGCCTTAACCATTATACTATTGGTTGGCCCTCATTCTTTAATTCTAAAATAAACTCAAATGCATCAAAGACATAATAGAACCATGAAAGTAGTGTAAAGTAGGAAAAGAAAAACATGTTTGAGTCTTATTCTAATTATGACAGAAAGTCAAGAAGCCTGAAAGGCAAAAAGACATCAATTCAACTACATAAAAAAATTGGAAAACCCTACACAGTGAAAAACACCATAAGATTCAAAATTCAAATTTGGGATAATTATTTGTATCACTGACAGATAGTCCTCGTTCACTTAATAAAAAAAAGAATTCTCACAAATCAATGACCAGCATTGAAATCTTCTTCTCTACATGTTCTATTTGATACAATATGTAGGCAGAAAATTAAGATTGTATTAGACTTGAGTAAAACTATTTATTAAATATGACACTTTTTAAATTCAGAACAAATCAACATTATTATACTAGGATATGTATGTAATAAACGTAGAACAAAACTGATACTTCTTAGAGTCAACAATTCAAATTAATTGTGCTTACTATTAGATGACAAATTCAGGGAAGTCACAGAAACAAGTAATGCTGTAGACACTAACACAATCCTACATCTGAATCTGACAATCCCTATCTGTTCCCCCTTGACATCTGCTGAGAATTAACAAAAGAAGACAGTATTTCCAGTTGGATAGTGAAATAGGCTTAATAAAGCATTCCAAGTCAAATCAATAAACAGTTTTTTAAAAGTGAAAATCTACAGGGCTGGCAGGTGGTGTGATGGTTGGGGGTGCTGTACTCCCACATGGCCAACCTGACCCTCGTTTGAGTCCCCGACCTGGCAGCTTGCTTTCTCACTTTCGTTCTCTCTCTCTCTCTCTCCCTCCCTCCCACATCAAATTAAAATAAATAAACTTAAATTAAAAAATACTTTAAGAAAGTGAAAATCTACAGTAGAAACTGGAATGCACTAAAGAATAGAATTAAGATAAATTTCACCAGTTACATGATAGAACCATCAAATTGGTCTTGAAAAGCAGAAGGCAGAGGATGAAATTGCACTGAATTCTGAAGCAGTTCAGATCTCTCCTGTCATTACGACCCCTCTGGACAGAATCTGTAACACGGTTTCTCCCATCTCCCCCTTATGAAAGGCTGGGCATGGGGTCAGGAGGTGGCATGGTGGTTAAGGTGCTGGATCCTACAAATTAATAAACTTTTTTTTTTTGGAGAGGTTGTTCCTATAGGGAGCATTTACTAGCTCGCCAGAAAGACAAAAAGAGACAGAAAGCGAGAAATCACCCCCTGCCAGAAGGGTGGCTACGCTGCAATCCCTTCTCCTTCATTCTCCTCTCAGGATCTTGGGCACACACGCACATGTGCCTGGCATGAGTTTCAAGCTGTCAGGCCCAGGACTCAAACCGTGGTCTACTATGTGGGAGCCCAGTGATGTAATCATTACACCAACTACCGGTCCCGAATTTTTCTTTTTTTTTTTGACAGAGATTTTTGTTATAGGGTGCGTGCACTTGCCAGAGAGACAGAAATAAAGAAATCACCCCCCAGGGGGGATGGCCATGCTGCAATCCCTTCTCCTCCATTATCCTCTCTGGATTTTGGGCACCCATGCACACACGCCTGGAGTGAGTTTTAAGCCACTAGGTCTGGGATTTGAACCACGGTCAGCTACGTAGGAGTCAAGCAACATAAGCATTACACCATTTGCTGGTCTCTGGTCCCGAACTTTTAAAATGATATTTGCAAAATTGAATGGAAAGTACAGAGTTTCTATATACCTCCTTTTCCCACTTACCTTCCATCTCCCTGTTTTAGTTCATTATTGTATTGCTACAGAGGAACATCCAAGACTCGGCATAAAAATAAAGTTTGGGACCAGCAGTTAGCGTAATGGCTATGTTGCTGGACTCCCACGTAGTCGACTGCGGCTCGCGGTGGACCTGGTGACTTAAAACTCTCGCTGGGCGTGTGTGCGTGCGTGCCCAAGATCCCGAGAGGAGAATGGAGGAGAAGGGATTGGGGGGGGG